AACCATAATTCGTTTCATACACGTATGTATATCATGATTCTTGTTGCTTAGACTCTAAGGTAGCTTAGGATGCTCCCCGAGTCTCACTTGGACATAGACGTTAGGTGGCATGAGCCCCTTTAATATGTTTTACCTTAAGGTGATAAATTTATAAAATGCTAGGTCGATGGATGCAAATCTCCTACGAGTAGCTTTATGTTACTCACTCCTACGATACTGGGGCATATTTCAGGTACGAAGACTTGGTTCGTGAAGCCTAGCATTCCTTGGATGTCGTGTAGCTTTCAAGTTTTCATTTCATGCAAATGTTAGCATGGAATGTCATTTTGTAGACTTATATGTCAAAATATGTATATTTGATTCCATGTATGTAATGTGTACTTAAGTACACTCCTTTCAATGTATTTGATATGTATGAGATTGATAAGCGCCGAATATTATATATTCAAGCGCCCTTAATTGCATTATTTAAGTCCATTGTTTGCTTATATTATGTAGATTATCTCCATTTGTGTGTTTGTATATATTTTCAGGTCCTTTTGCCAAAAAGGAGCAAAAATAAGACTTTGTGGATTTTAGACCATCAAAAGGCACAAGGCTGAATTTCTGGCAGCAGTGGATCCTGGACTTTGCTTGCCACTTTTGACCCAGAAAGCTCGAGATCTGGACTTCCATTATAAAATGGCATATTTAGAGCTCTGAATTAGCTTTCTAAATCTTCAAACGGTTTGTCATTCGGAGCTCGGAGCAGAAAGTTATGGCCTTGTTACGAGAGGTGCGCAGAACTGCCTGGCAGTAATGAAATTCTGCCTTGATCTTCATTTTCGACCAACCATCCTTGAGAATTGGATCTCCACTAAAACATGAAGTTTTTAGAGCTCTGAATTACCTTTCCAAATCTTCAAACGATTTGTCATTCGGAGTATAAAGTTATGGCCGTTTTACCAAAGTAGGTCCGGGCGGAGCAAACCAAGCATAGGGCATTCTGCCCAATTTTCGAGTGCTCGAGGCCCTATTTCGAGCACTCGAAATTAGGGCAGAATTCTACACGACTCAGCCCACTTGTGCTCAGATTTTACCTACTTTGGAAGCTTTCCTTTATGAGTTGGTTGGGGATGTTTCTTGGGGAGGAGAAAGAGCTTTTTGGGTGGATTTCTTATCTAGATAAAGAGGGGAGAGCCACACATCGGAGGAAGCTTTATTTTTTTACAAGATTAGAGGAGAGAGAAGAGAGCAAGGAAGATGGTGTTCTTGAGTGCTACAGTAGGAGCTCAAAAATGGAGATGGATCCTTCTTCTTCTTCTTCTTCCATTTTTTGTATCAATGGAGAGCTAAACCTCCATCTAGGGAGGTGATGAAGCTCCTCCCTTGTAAGCATGTGCTAGTGTAGATTTTATTTTGGGGAGAACAACGTATGGTTTTTGGTTATTTTATGATCTAGAGCATCATATTTGTTGTAATGAACTTTAATATCTATACATGATTATTTTGAGTTATTCCTCTTGTCTTAGATGATTGCTTCTTTTAATCATAATACTTACACTTTCATAGTGACAATGGAAGTTAGATCATGAAATGGTTTCATTGACATGAAGTTGGAGAACTTAGATAGTCCATTGTTTAGGATCCCCCTTTGATGGTCTATGCTTAATTCCTAATTTTACGTGCTTTCATCATTCCATTAAGGACTTGATAATCTTGGGCTTAGGGAGCATGTGAAGGCTACACCCTAGTTTAGGTGGCTTGAGTATGTGAACCTTTGATGGATTATTCTTGTTGTTGATTTAATGAACTTCTTGAAAATACTATAGCAACCAAGTGTTGCCATGTATCATAACCATCATTTGTGTTGTTTTTCCCCAATTTAATCTTAATCTAGCATGTGTATAGGGTTGGAGTGAATTCATCTCCCTAGTCTTTTCTACTTGTATCTCACTTCTTCAATTTCCTTGCAATTTATTGTTTTATGCACTCCTAATTTCCTAGTTTAGTGACTATCAAACAAACCCTTATTACCCCTTATCATAGACTAGCGCAGTCCCAGTGGTTCGACTTACCCGACCAATAGCCCTATTTTACAATGATTCATGCTATTGCGAAGGTTGATGTATGATTGACCAACCGATCAGAGATGAGGCCGGAGGCCAATGACATGTGTATTGTATTTTATACAACTTTTTAACTTCATGAAACATTATAAAAACCTTGAAAAATCGCAAGTCATTGCTTCACCATGGTTGCATCGGGTTTAGGAATTCCATTTTCATTCTTTCATAGGGTCTTATTAATCTTGTATGAAGTGTGGCCAAGGGCCAAACAGTCATTTGATCCTGTTTTGCATTTTTGGATTCCATGTTTTCCATTCCAAGTCCATTTTTGCCTTTTTGCCCGTTGGGGGGTCGGATTTTGCATCGGCTATATTTTTAAGTCATGGACCATTGTAGCGCATCTAAATAGGTAAGTTACGTTTGCGTGCATAGTCGTTTCCGGGCAAAACCTCATCGTTTGTGTTTTGAGCCTCTTGTGAATTCATTTCGCATTTTTTTTGCATATTCTGATCTAGGGGCATTATGGACCTTTGACCTCAGTTTTATTTTCTTCTTTCGACATGGTCGCTTAGAAAACGTGATTTTAGGGGGGGTTTTTTTTTCGTGTTTTTTCAGAAAATGTCGTCTTGGTACCGGAAATCCCTCGTGAAGTTTCAGCTTCCAGTTTTCATTTAGCAGCTTTATGACCCTCTTGTTCAGTTCTGATCTAGGGGCATTTTGGGAATTTCACAGTGAGTTTTTTTCGATTCCGTTCACTTGGTTGGGTAGAAAACTCGATTTTAGGGGGGGTTTCTTCTTCGTGTTTTTCCAGAAAAACTTGTCTTGACCTTCGTTTTAAGCCTCAGTTCTGGACAGATAAAAAAAAATGTAGCAGCAGCCAAATGCTGCCACCAGCCATGTCTTTGGGCACCGGCATGCACGCCGGTGGGCTCGCGCATGGGTGCTGTGTGCGTCATGGCCCCTCGTCGGGCCGCCGTGACATCAATTCTTCTTTTGGGCTTTTCTCTTTCGTTCGGACTCCGATTCAAGTGAATTTTTTTTTTTTTAACTTGACTAATTTTTCGCTGTCTTTCCAACAGTGTGCTCGGTTGCACCCGGTTCTTCCTGAATAATTACCAGTTTACCCTTTTTGCTTTAAGTGCTTGTTTTTCTTCGTCATGCCGTTTCTCCTTCGTTCGGACTCCGAATCATGCGATTCTTGAGTCCGTCTTGATTAGTTTTTCGTTGTCCTTCCAGCGATGTGCTCGATGGCACCCAAATATACAGTTTTCAGAAATGACTATTTTGCCCCTGGGGGCTTATTTGTCATATTTTCGATCTTTTGCTTCCGCATCAGTTCTTGTTGAGTTCCACGACCTCATGGAAGGTCACTTTGACTTCTTAGAGTCTTATTTTCTGTTTTCGCTTCCGCATTCGGATCCGTTATCGGATCATCCTTACGGTTCATCACAGGACACGCTGGCCTAAAAACCAGGGTCGTCACACGTATCATCATCCTATTAATCCGAGAAACCTATAAATATAGGCATGGAAGAAGGAGAAAAGGGGGATCCAGAAATTGAGAGACTCAGAAATTCAGAGAGATATATAGAAACTCTATTGACATTCATGTCCAACACCCAAACCTGAAGGCGAAGAGCAACAAGCACATCAAACCGTGCCGTTCTTTATCAAAATTTTACGTTGATCAACAACAAGTACATCCAAAGTCATGCCGTTCTTCATCAAATTTAATAAATTCTCTCTAAAGGCGAAAAGCAAAAAGTACATACAAAGTCGTGCTGTTCTTCACCAAATTCACCAAAATTCTCTCCCCTCTGAAGACGAAAAATAATAAACATATCCAAAACCGTGTCGTTCTTCTTCAAATTTAACAAAGGATAACAAGCATATCAAAATCATGTCGTTCTTTTTTCGTGATTCAACAAGTCTGACGAATCACCACACAACACTGTTCAAGACCAAGTTTCGTCAGCCCTTGATCAGAAATCATCGGCGATCTTCTTCAACTATAAATACTTGAAGAAAATAGTTAACAACCTAATTCAAGATCAAGCTCCAAAAGCTTTTGAATCCAACCAACAAAGGAGATCAAATCAGAAGATATTTTCAAATATCTCAGAGGATTGTACTCAAATTTTTATAAATTAATAAATTCTATTTGCTCCATATTTTGTTCTTTATTTGCAGACTACGAAATTTGTGTGTACAACTCAGTCCTAATTAAATTTAGTTAAATAATTTCAAATCAAATTTGACTAAAATTGGAAAAAATCTTGTTAAAAATGTGAAAAAAAACCACCTTAAATTTGAATTGAATCAATGTTAACTTGTCCAAATTCCGTCTATGCAATCGGTATACAAAAAATCATTAGAAAGAATTCGAATTGGACCAAATGAAATTATATAATTCAGTTCCGTTCGATTTTGAATATAAAAATTAAAATTATTGATAATAGTTCAATTTCAATTTAAAGGAGACGAACTAATGGAACCTTTAGTATAAATTAAATAACAATCATATATAAGTATATTTATATTATATTGTGAATTTGTGATTTTGATTTTGATTTTGATTTGATTAATAAATAAATATAAAAATATATATAAAAAGATAGTCTAAAATTTTCTTCTTAGTTGATATTTATACACAAGTCTCTGTTAAGGCTCGAACTCCTAATGTCTCAAAATTGGAGCGTGATATTTAATAGGAGGCTGTTGGTAATGGCCCAACATTATAGAACCAAATTAAGCTAAACCGATCCTAATGACCTCTCACCAATTCCTAATGACCCAATTCCTAATGACCCAATCAAACACACGTCTTCCATTTTCAACCGTTGATCAATCATCAGTTCTGTGCAAACAAAACTAGATTGAAACCAGACCACACGAGAAAAACTCAAAATAAATCGTAAGAAACCCAGGAGTAGAAGCAAAATACAATTGAGAAGATAAACAAGCAACGCCACCTCCCACCAAAAGACAAACACACTCTGTGTCATAAAAAACACGCAAAATCGCCATTAAAATCCAAACCTTTCGACCTCCCAAAACCACCAATAAAACACTCCTCAACGTGTACAACCCCATAACCACTCCATTCCCTTCTTCAATATAAAAAACCCACCAAAAAAAAAATCAATCGAAATTAACAACAATAACATACCCACCCACAAAAAAAATTCTCTCTCTCTCTCTCTCTCTTCTCATCTTCTTCTACTCTCCCAGACCCTCTTAGCTTATAGATCGAAATGGGTCCGGTGGTGTTGACTCAGTTGGCGACGGGTCTGAGCGTGTTGGCCGGAGCGGTGCTGGTCAAATCGGTGATGGACAAGCCCATGGCCGGGCCGGGTCAGTTCCCCAGGTGCCCGAGTTGCAACGGCACAGGCCTGGTCTCTTGCTTCTGTTCTCGCTGGTCGGACGGCGATGTTGGGTGCCGGAGCTGCTCCGGGTCGGGTCGCACGGCGTGTAGCAGCTGTGGAGGAACCGGAACCGGTCGGCCCATCCCGGTTCAGCTCTCTGTTCGTCCTCCCACCAACCGCCCCTCCTAACCGGTTTGTGCTTTAGAGTACTTCTTCAAATCTTTATCAATCCAACACCTCCCTATTTTGTTTATTTTTGTATTAATTTGTGTAATATAAGTTCATAAAGCTTAAGAGAGAGAGTGGGTGGGAGATTATTAGGTTGTACTGACATGAATGAATTAATATATCAATTTGTATACAATGAAATTGTTCTATAATTTAATTATTGCTTATAGTGATTGAGAACTAGCCCAATTGTATAAGTTCTCTTATTTGGTTGTCTTTTTGTGAAACTAGAAATTTTAATTTGTTTATGAGATGAACTTAGTTTATTTTGTTCAGAAAAAAAAAAATTTTTTTTTTAGAGTAATTGCAGCTTAGAGGCTACTATATCCTTTAGCTATATATCTCTACATATGTCTAATTGTGTTTCTCATTTATAAGCATGCACCCAATTATTAGATTACCTATAGTAATTCAACATACTAGTTAAATGAAGTACCTTCTACTTGGGGAATATAAATATACAAACGATGCTTAAAAAGATTATGACATTAGAGAATTGTAAAAAAAAAGGAAAGAGATCTAAAATCTAAAAGAATATATATATATATATATATATAATTCGTGTTTGGATCACTCATATTATACCTCCCCTCAATGAATATTCTATTTATATTGTTCAGTCAATCCTAATATTAACTATTAGGAGTGATAATGGAAATAAGGATTCTTGTGGTATATTTTTACGAGCTGTGATTAAATTAAAAAAAAAAAAATTGATTTTTTATAGAACGATTCCCATTTCAGTTGATTTTATTCCATTCAACGATTGACACCGAAGGAAAATGAAAATTTAATAAATATGTATATTAGACTATTAGTAGATTCACATGAGTAACAACTGTGAAGGCCTCACAAAATTTATCTTGTAAGGTATGGTCCTTTTACAATTGATTGATATTGAATTTGAAGGAGTCCTCTTACCATTCTTATGATCTATTGTTGTGTATAAACTTCTTAGAATATGCATGTAGTGGCTTGGGTTCTGTCTTTAGTTTTTGAGTTCTGATGCTGAATATATATAAGATCCAAAACTAATGAATTTTTGATATTTATCAGTATAGGAAGACATCCCCAGAAAATACTCAAATAAATTAAGTTTAAAGGTAGAGCACAAATTGGACAACACAACCAGGAAGTTTAAAGTTAGGTATATGAAAACGAAAGGGTATAGCGATTTGATGGCATCTTTAGTTCTCATAGGCTATGCTATGAGTTCACATTTATGCTATGATTTTTGATTCACACGCAATATGTGATTCTTAGTACAATTAGAAGCTTGGGTGGCCAACCCAAAATAAAAAACAGAATTAAACTTTAGTTGCTTTTGCTCCCAAATGCAAAAGAATTTGGTGTTAAAATTTTGGTAATGAGATGTACATGCGTCTACCATAAAATTGTCACTAAATGAGGTTATGGTTGAAGATTCATCCAAACTGAGACCAAGTTTTTTCCCCATGCTACGAACTATGATCCATGAAGAGAAACTCATTTATGCAGGAAGTCAGGAACTACTGATTATTTTTATTTTAAAAAAAAAATTATGAACTTTCATATAAAAAGCAAGGGATGATGTTCAAATGGGTAGGATCAAGGCATAAAATGGTTGATACCACTCTTTTTGGTCACTATTTTTTTTTTTTTTTTTTGGGTTATACTTTGTTCAAATAGGATGATGTTCAATTTCAGGTTTTACATGTCAGACAGATGCTTTGCAACCATTTTTTTCTTCCCGTTAGAATTCTATTACATCTAAGTTGGTCTGAACTTGGAAATTTAGGTTTGGGGTTGTTTGAAATCCTTTTAGGGTTAAGTTCAAACCTTATAAATACTATTTCTCGTGGGCTCTAACTCCCTATGTTCAGAGGAAGCTTTATTAGCTGCTACTTTTCGATTGAAATTTTAGCGAGAATACTAGAGAACTACAAGTATGACACCATGTGACTTGATTTTGGATGGATAAAGTGAACTTCACTCTAATGAATGAGCCCCAATCTGAAGTTTACTATCTGACTGAGAATATGCCGTGTTAGTTCTCAAAATAATAATGATTTGGGACTGGAGCATACCTTTTTTAATTGAAAATTTGTGCGTGGAAACTTCAGTTTCATATCATGTTACTTGGCATATGAATAGCTGTTCAATGGCTGTTTATCAAAATTGATTTATACAAATGACTGTTTATTGAAGCTGATTAACTGACCTCTAAATTAAAAACTAAGTTGAATAAAAGGGTATTAGACCAATAAATAAAAAATTTACACAGTAAAATTGTAGACAACTAAGAATAATATATTCATAAAATGAGTGCAATCATAATGGGGATGTGTGAAAAGACAGGAAAGGATATAGTTTTGAATATTACATTGGTGAAACAGTTCAAGAAGCACTCGTTAGTGAAAAAAAATGAGAAGTTCAATTAAGATGGTTGGCTATTTTAGCGAAAATCAATAATTGCAAGAATAAGAGTGATGTGTTCTATTTTGAGAGTGATGCTAGGAAAAAGAGAAGACTGGAATTAACATGGGTTGAGATGGTAAGGAAAGCTACAATAACAGTTGTTTTAGTTGACGGCACCCTAGGCTATAATGCGTCAAAGTACTCATGAATTTAACCTAGATCTTATAGATATCAACTGCTAATAACAAATTTCACATTTCAATTGTGCTTTGATTAATGTTTATCAATCCACATCTCTCAATCACAACCTTATATGCTTTAAAAACATATAGACGAATAAATAAAAATAAGAGAGTGATCAATTTGTACGTAGAAAACTCTAGAAAAAATCGCAAGATCTTCATTCCAAGCATGAACGATATACGATTGAGAAAGGTTCACGGTCCTAGTTAAGTAGGTATCAGATTCTACCCTTTAAAATCATTCAATGAGAGAAAATCAGTTAAGATGGTTTAGAGCTATGCGCATATTACCTTTAAAGTAGTTGGGAATAATGACATAGTCTTTTTTTCCTAAATAATGACATAGTCCACATTGTGGGTTATGCTACGGGAAGGGAAAGACCAAAGTTAATATGGATAGAGTTAATAAGGAAGGACATGGTAACATGTTTGGCTGAGGTTATGACTTTAGATAGAGCAGAATGGAAGAATATGATTCATGTAGTCAATTCCAAGTAGTTGGAAAAAGGCTTTGTTTGTTATTGTTTTTATGCGTCTTTATCTTTAGAATACTTGATTGATTGAAACTTGATGATCTTCTTCTATTGCCTGTATGCTTTGATTTTCTTAGTCACTTTAATTTATTATAATCTCTGTGAAACCCTAAATTGATCAGTCTTTTCTCTCTCTAAAATCTTTATAATGATTCTCTCATCAATTATAATCATACCTTAGACTAACTAAAACGACATGTTTTTCTTTCAAAATTTTAACTAGGACTATCATTTTTGTCGTTGCTAATTTATATTATTGTCATTTGTTTATGTTAAGAATTGCTCACTAAATGCCTACATTCACATAATGTTATGCGAATGATCAATTTGACAAGAAAATAACTTCACTAATCGAGACAATAATATGGAAAACAATTCAACTCAAAATTTTTTTAGTTCCTATTACTTAGGGATGTCAATGAGAATCTGTCTATAGAATTTTACCATGATAGCATGTTATTATAGCGCAACTTAATTAGTGAATTTTATGAAAGATCGGCTTAAACTGTTGAGTTTTAACTTCAACCATACCATCAGAACGTTTATTTATCTGAACCACATTCCACAAGTTTTCATCATCTGTGCAAAGCAATTGGTTAGGGTTTAGCTTCTTTCCAATGAATACATTGTAGTGATGGCTAAGGTCTGCCATGTGCAATGAAGATCAAAAACATTTTTTTCTTCTTCTCATAAATAGATCAAAAACATCCTTATGTGCTCAATATACGAGAATTATCAATGTAGATGATGGAGATTTCTCCACTAGCAAAAATTGATGGAGATCAAGATACGTCACGTAAGCTTGAACCACATATGGTCGGTACCAACTTTAGGAGAAGGGGCAAGGGTAAATAAAGTCGAGCGTGTTTTGATATTCTTATTTCAGGGTTTCTTAGACTTTGCTTATATTTTGCCTATATAAAGGCTCTTAGGTAACCAAAATATTCAATTTTGGAATATTGAATAATATCGTGCTTTCAAGATATCGTGGCGTCAGAAGTTGTGGGTGTTATGGCTCCAAGAGGGTGACCACAATACAAAATTCTTTCATAGGTTGGCTAATGCTCACAGGAGGGGTAATCATATTGGCGGATTTGTGTTGATGGTGTGGATCTATGTAGGGAGGAGGAGGTGTGCACGGGGATTGTCTTGTAGTATTAAAGACTGTACATTGGACATACAGTTGGAGACCTAGGCTTGGTGGTTTGCTTTTTGACTCGATTTTAGAGATGGATGGGGAGGGTCTGGAGTTTCCTTTCTCCGAAGAGGAAGTTTTGAAGGCGCTAAAGAGTTGTAATGGCGACAAGTACCCAGGCCCGGATGGTTTCACTATGAGGTTCCTATTGGAGAGTTGGGAGGTGGTCAAGGGTGAGTCGGTGAGGTGATGGGGACATTCTAGGAGTTCTATTCTTTTAGGCTGTTCAAGAAATTTTTGAATGCTACTTTTATTGCTCTCATTCCCAAGAAGGGTGGTGCCATTGATGTGAAAGATTTTAGACCTATTAGCTTGATGGGGTGTTTGTACAAGCTGATAGCTAAAGTTCTTGCCGTGAGGTTGAGGGATGTATTGGATGGATTTATTTTACAATCTCAAAATGCTTTCATTGGGGATAGGCAGATCCTGGATTCAACGCTCATTGCTAGTGAGTGTGTGGATTCTAGGTTGAGTAGTGGTGTGCGGGGAGTTCTTTGTAAGCTTGATATTGAGAAGGCTTAAGGTCACATTAGTTGGAGTTTTCTGCTTTATATAATGGAGAGGCTAGGTTTTGGGGTGAAATGGAGGAGGTGGATTGAGTTCTGTATTTCGTTAGTGAGATTCTCGATGTTGGTGAATGGGGCTCCGTCTGGCTTCTTTGGCAAATCTCGGGGCTTGAGACAAGGGGATCCTCTTTCTCCTTTTCTGTTCATTATTGTTATGGAGGCTCTTAGCAGGTTGATGAGGAGGGCTGTGGATTTGGGATTCATTAGGGGCTTCAGGGTGGGCAGAGACTCGGATCATTAGATAGAGGTTTCTCATTTGTTTTTTGCGGATGATACACTGGTCTTCTGTGATGCTGATGTGTCCCGGATGAGATATTTGAGATGTGTTTTAGTTTGCTTTTAGGCTGTTTCAGGTCTAAAAGTGAATGTAGGGAAGAATTTATTAGTCCCAGTGGGCTAGGTGCATAACATTGATGATCTTGCAGCGGTGCTTGGGTGTGGGATCTCCTCTTTCCCTATTTCTTATTTGGGCTTGCCTCTGGGTTCACCGTCGAGAAGGGTGAGGGGTTGGGACCCTGTGGTTGAGAGGTTTGAGAAGAGACTTGTTGGGTGGAAGAAGCAGTATCTTTTGAAGGGCGGGAAGGTCACCCTTATGAAGAGCACATTGGCGAGTCTTCCCACATACTTCCTCTCTCTTTTTAGATCTCGGCCACCGTGGTTGAAAGAATTGAAAGGCTTCAACGGAACTTCCTTTGGGGCGGGTTAGGGGATGAGTTTAAGTACCATCTTGTTCGTTGGGAGTAAGTGTGCAGGCGTATCCAGTTGGGTGGTTTGGGTATTAGGAGGGTGATCCCTTTTAATAAGGCTCTCCTAGGGAAGTGGCTTTGGAGATTTGGAGGGGAGCGACATCGATTATGGTGGAGGGTCATCTCTTGCCACTTTATGGAGGAGAGAGGTAGGTGGTGCTCCCGTGTGGTTAGATCACCTAGTGGTGTTGGGGCTTGGAAGTTCATTCGGAAGGGCTGGGATGAGTTTTCAAAGCACATCAGATTCAAAGTTCGAGATGGTAGGGACACTCGGTTTTGGGAGGGCGTTTGGTGTGGGGAGCGTCCATTGGCTTGTTCATTCCCTAGGCTATTTAGGATTGCCGTGGACCAATATGCTTGGGTAGTTGACTGTTTTCAGCTTGATAGTGGAAGGATTACATGTGATTTGCGTTTTCGATGACATTTTCATGATTGGGATTGGACGATGTTTCTGACTTCTTGTTCAACTCTATAGACAAACACTGGATGGTGGTGGCCCAGATTTCCTTTGTTGGGTGCCATCTTCTCAGCGGAGATTTGAGGTTCGGTCCTTTTTTACCTGTTGGGATTCTTAAGGACTGATTTCCCTTGGAAAATGGTGTGGCGTTCGAAGGCTCCCCTCAAAGTGGCTTTTTATTGTTTGGACTACAGTTTAGGGTAAGATTCTGACACTTGATAACCTCAGAAGCACAAGGCAGGTTACAGTTAATTGGTGTTGCATGTGCAAACAGGATGGTGAGTCAGTGGATCACTTGTTGTTGCATTGCCCTATGGTTCACGACTGCTAGGGTTTGATTTTTGGCTTATTTGGAGTGCAGTGGGTTATGCCCCAGACTGCGAGAGGTTTGATGGACTCTTGGAGAGGGTGTGGGGTGGGTTCTCACGCTTGTCTTTTTTGGAGGGTAGCTCCTCTATGTGTTTGGTGGTGCATTTGGAAGGAGCGAAATAACAGATCTTTTGATGGAGAGATATTGTACATCTATAGAAGAGATTGTTGGGGTATGGGTAGATATTGTACATCTATAGAAGAGATTGTTGATTTCTTGGCCTCTGTGGGTCCTTCTTTTGGCTGTGGCTTTGGCCTCTGTGCATTCTAGGGATGTGTTCCCCTTTTGAACGCTTTCTATACATTTTTACTTATCAAAAAAAAAGTTCTACCTTCCCTATTTTTCTCCTCCTCTTATTCTCACTCTTCTCAATCCATCTTCTATTTGGATCTTATCCCTTTCGTCTGTATTAGGGCACTTTATTTATTTATTTTCTCCTCCCTAGATCAGTTGGTTGGATCTGCGTTAGTTGGTATCAATGTACTCATCCTACATCAGGAGGATATAATGAAAGACAGTCCCATGAACATTATCTGATAGCGTCAAGTAGATCTCATCTCCATTAGCTACATAACAAGAGATTATATTGTAATCAAACAACTCTTTGAAATGTTTGTTTAAAGTTCTTTCACTGGCCAAAGAATTTAAATGAATTTCAGGGACTTGAAAAACTAAATTACGCAAACATGTCATATATATATATATATATATATATTTTTTTTTTTTACTGAATGGGTGGTTTTATAAACAAAAGAAAATATGTACAAAAAAGGAGGAATCACTCCAAACAACTAATCTAGAAGTAGACAAGCCCACTTCCAGATCAAGCAAACCGAAACAAAAAAAAAAAATTGCAACAATCAAGCTAATTGAATAATTCAAGCAGGTCCGAAAGAGAGAAGCTATGAAGAAGAAGGATCTCCCAAATAACTTGCTTGACTAATTGATCTGCATCTTCCTGGATACCTTGATGCAAAGATTTATTCCGAGCCTTCCAAATTATCCAAATGGTGACTGAAAACACAGACCTAAGAATCTTAGATTTAGCGCTGTTTGTAGAAACATTAAGCAGGAACCAATCCACAATCTGATCCATAGAGATGAAGTCTTGCAACGGAAATTTAAACAATTCCAATGGATCCTTCCAAACCTTATTAGCCAATGGACAAGAGCAGAACAAGTGAGCATTAAAATCTGCATTAGCAAAACAATTGTGACACACTGAAGGCACCTGTAAACCCCTCTTCTGCAAATTCACAAAGGAAAGATTTTTATTCAGCATAATAATATGAACAACCACAGCAGTCCGAGGTCTACAACCCTTCCAACAAAGCTTAAACCATTTCAGCTTCTGATCCCGCAATCTGCACACTTCCCACGCTGCTTTCAAAGAAAAAACTCCATGCTGCCAAAGAATAGTGTCTTGACCAGCATATATCTGCAATCTAGATATAAAATCTCTAGCCAAGGAAGGAAAAAAACTCTGGGAAACGCCATTAAGTCCCATGAACAATGGGCTCAACCTTAGCCATAGAATCAAAATTTCTAAAAAACACTACCCCAAATCTTTGAGCAATCGAAAGAGAAGCACACCAAGGATCATGAAGCAAATTGAAAGACTTCCCATTGCCCACTTTAAACACAAGGTGAGGCAGCAACTGATCTCGGACCTCCAAAATCTGTTTCCAAATAACTGAATCAGAACTTCTAGAATTAATTGTCCAAAAATTAGAAGAATTCAAGTATCTAGCCTGCAGCCACTTAATCCAGAGATTATCTTTCTTTGAACAAAGTCCCAACAGATTGAAAGCTTAGAAGCAACATCAATGTCACTGATCCGATGTAGATTAAAGCCTCCTTCATCATGAGGGAGCGTAACCTGACTCTATTTAATCTGAGACATCTTAGTGCTCTCTGTTTTACCCCTCCATAAAAATTTCTTGAACTTCTTTTCGAGCGTGATCCTACAGCCCCATGGAATTTTAAAGCCAAACAACCAATGATAAAGAAAAGAGTAAAGGACTGATCTCAAAAGCTCAATCCTACCAGCCATAGAAAGATTAAGAGTGTTCCAGTGATTCAACCTCTCATACCTTGATAGAAAAAATAGGAACTTGCAAATGATTTGATTTGAGCTACTTGTCATTTGATGATGTGAAATTGTACTTTGCATCCTACTAATATTAGCATCGGCATCATCATACTTGAAGAAAGCTCCATGCAGAGTTGTGAAATTCAAAATTCATAGCTGACAGCATGGGAGCCTTTGACTCTCAAATTGTGCAGGTTTAAAAACTTTTGATGCACTTGGTCTACTACATGACATGTCTCATGATATTGTTTGACAACCCTTTTCCTTTCTCAAGGTGTAGACATGCAATGGAATGAACCTCATCATTCCATATATTAATGTTGGATTTCTTATGCTTACGCAATTATTTGATTTGTAAATTGTGAATAGCATTGTTGTTGACTAATCTGTCACTCACTGTTTGAGCTTCTCTTCCATTATTGTGTATCAAATTTTTGCTGTCTACTAATGCCTATTTTAGTATTGTGTATAATTGTTCTGTTTTTCCTGCTAAGTTCCATTTGACATGGCATAGGTAAGTCTTAAATTTATAGCCATATTATATATACTGCTTCTACTACCTTTTTCCTGTAGCTTCTTGTTTCCAATTTGTTAATGTTCATAGTTTTATCCGTGTTAGAATTTAGACATCAGTAATGCACCAGTTAGGATGAGTTACATAGTCCACATTGAGGGTAATACTAGGGGAGGAGGAAGACCAAAGTTAACATGGGTAGAGTTACTTAAGAAGGATATGATAGCATGTGGTTTGACTAAGGCTATGGCTTTAGATAGAGCAAAATGGAAACATAAGATTCATGTATCCGACCCCAGGTAGCTGGGAAAAAGACTTCTTGTTGTTTTGGAATTTAAACAGCAGTATCGATTATTTTTTGTTCCTTGAACTCTGATTTTTGTTTTTACATTGCATCAAGAAAGTTTGCATCTTTAAATTGGCAATGGTGAAAAGTGAAGTTTATATGATGTAGCAGATACCTTAATCATGCTGCAGCTAACTCATTGTCCAACTTTACCATTTTCAATTCTTACAGAATAGATTTACATTCCACAGCCCAGTCTATGTATATGACATAATTCCATCTTTCTCGCTGCATGTCGAAAAGCAGTAACCAGAATAGCCATTTTTATACTTTCTGCTTTCTGATAGACGGCCTGCTCATCTCGTAGAGGTCTAAAAATTCGACTCTGGTACATTTCCTTTTTATTCATTTGTATATATGTTGTCATAAAATTACAGGCATGAACTTTATTCACTCTCTTGACTACTACCAAATTATTGTTCTCATGTCGTAACTTGTATACGAGTTTTAATGCTTGTTTCTTCTTATTACATTTTGGTATGGGTTCTATCCTATTTAGAGTAGAATGTTTTGTATCTGCTTTTCTCAACCTGAACTTTGTGTCTATTAAATTGTATTCAGTGCTTAAGCTTCTAATCTAAGGTTCTTTTTGCAAAGAAATTCACCTATTTCCCCTACCCGAGTCAGGTAGTTACCTCCCTGAGAACTAATATATTCTGTTCTGAATAACCAATAAAACAGTCTTGATCATTATACAGCATAGTATTTTCTCTTGTGAATCCCTGGACCACTTTGCGAAGGATTTGCTATATAATTAAGCGATGCTGAACAACCAATTTCCTTTTGCTTGACACCTATATGACTGGAATACTCTATGAAGCTGCTGAGTTATGCACTGAAACAGCTAAGAGTGACAACCAGCCAAGTGAGCATTGTGCATTCTGAGTTCCATAAAGGTGAAACATTACGAGTTTAGGATTTCCATCAACCACGCAAGTGTGTACCTTTTATGGACCATTTTCATTACCATTTGAAGTTATATTTCTGCCATTTTAAGTTCAAATTTAAGAGGTTTTTGTACACTGCTTGAGGTTTCTACAGCAGACATGAACAGACAATACAAGTTCTAATGATACAAACATCACTCTGAATCACATGTGAAATTCCTCCTTAGGCAAAGATGTTCACTAATGTTTCTCCAGCACATCAATCCCGGTTAGCATTCTCCCTTTTGCTCCAATCACTTGGGGGTGAAAGCCTGAAAAAGACCACAAAGAGATCAACACAAATGACTAGATCAGATTTATTCTCAGTGCATTTTATCTACTATTTTGTGTTTGTTGTCAGATGCTTGCATACATATTTAATCATGTTGGTCATTCATTACTTATTATTGTTACAGAAATTCATGCATACATTTTCATGACATTTAAATTTAACAAGGATCAATTTTAAATGATTAGGTTTGTGGTTGTGAACTGCGTGTTCACGTCATTATGCGAGGCAATAGACCACGCTTATTTGACATTCTTAAAAAAAATCAATGGCAAGTGCCAGAAGACATCTGCAAAACCCCTTTTGTTGTTAATCCTGTAGAATTTAAACTCATTTTCATGTGCTTCTCTTGCAAGCGTTTATGCTAAATAGACTCCTAGATTATGTACCTGTGTATATGCATGTCTATTTATGTTGGGAATAGAAATAAACATTGATATATAGTTGTTTGTAGTATATTGATGGCTGGGATACTTACAGCAAAAATGGTGGCATGACCAGGATCAGCAAGGTGGGCAAAGAGGTTGTCGATTGGTCCAGTGCCAGTGTAGATGGCTTGGAACCACGCACCTATCACAGCCAACATAGCCAACCTTCCATTCTTGATCTCCTTTGTCCTCAGCTCCTTGATTTTCTCAGGAGAACCTGATCCCCAACCAAGAGGGTCGAACCATAGCCCGCCAGGGTAGCCAACGTCTGTACCGGTGAGCTTGTTGTTGGGGAAGATAGGATCCGTGTTGACGCACCCAGGCTTGAGGATGTCAGCCCACCGTCTTCCCTCAGCCCAACCGATGAAAATTAGCTCGACGATGAAGAGCGTGGTTTTGTCAGTGAAGTATTCTAGTTCGCCAGCAGTGTACCACGAAGGGGTGTTTAAGATGCCAATCTTTGTCAGGAATTCTGGGATGAAAATGCCAGCAGCACCCAACATTGCCCACCTGCAGTGCACGATCTCCGATTGTACGTTCCATCTCAATGTCTCGGGATCAGACCCTGTTGAAAACCCATCACAACATTCATGAATCTTCAGGTGAAACTGAAACAATCTATACTTCATTATTTGGGGTCATTTGTTCTGGATTTAACTTACCAAGACCAAGAGGATCAAATCCAAAGTCTCCGGGGAGGCTGCATTACAGTGTTGATATAGAACTTCAGAAACATAGCAACTGCAGTCTCATATATATATATATATATATATGCATGTATATGTATGTATGTGTGTGTAATAGGGAGGGTGAAAAAGCGTGAAGTATTACTGAACCTGCCATCAAGCCATGGAGGAGGGGTGCTGCCTGGGAACCAGAGGGGCCGGTCAGGGTCAGCTAAAGCGCACATAGTGACCGATTGCGCCCTCGCCGGTGTCACATACTTTCTCAGCCTCAGTTTTTTCCCTCCAAGAAAAGAAGCCTTTGTTGCTCCCACAATAGATCCAGTTTTCTGGGTACTGTACCACATGAAATTTGATTAACATGGTTAGTAAACAATATATGCACATGTATTAGCATTTTGCTATGTCTTTTCTATCTTGTCATAGCTTTAAATTCATATATGAAGATTACTAGTGACATGTGCCATGCTTAACTGTGTGTTGTGTGTGTGTGTGGGATGGAACTTGCCTTGGGGAAGAAAGGGAAACAGCTGCAATAGCTGAAGAAGCACAAGCAGAGGCCATGTCGACAGATTTTGCTTCGAAGCTGCTGCGATTGATTTGGTTTGAATGAGGAATTGAGAAGCAGTTAATGTATGCAGGGGCTTATCTTAAAGGATAGGAGAGTGAATGTGTGATTGGCTGATTGGTTGCCATGTGGGATTGCAGAATCTAAAATTAGGCCCTCCACCTCTTGTTTTTAAGCAATGCTGGTATAATCTTGAAGCTGGTGGTTGACATTGTAAGCTCATAAATATAGCTCATATATTCTAGTGTCGTGTGGTTGAGACATTCACAGAATATCACTACAATCTGAGTAGCAATTTTGTATTTTTAAAATGGTAAACAGGTCTAAAATTACTAATTTTACTATTCATTAAAATGATAGATGAGTGTCGAAAGGGCATGTTTGGTATCCGTTTTATTTTTGTTTTTGTCGGGTATTGTAGTAGTGAATGGTAAAAAAAAGGCTCTTTTGTAAAAATTGTTTTGTTTTGTGTAGTGTCAAAATGTTTCATGAATAGTAGTAAAAATTTAAAATACTAATTTGATGTTACTACTGTATCATACAGTATTGCACATTTACCTTCCTCATCTCCTTGCCATTAAAAAATAGCAGTTCTCTCATCGTAATATTGAAAATTTCAAAATGTCTTTTTGCTGTATATACAAACTATAATATCTGTCTATATACAATATATATTATAATTGAAGTATTTGATATAATATATCAAAATTTAGGATTCAAATCCCATCGGGCCAACAGGTGTGAGTTGCTGTTTACCTATAAAAATTGAAATTAGAAAAAATTGAAAAATAGAAGGTGGTAATTGGTAAATTGTTTGGGTTGTCAATTTGTCATACTAGATAATTGAGAATGAATCTTGCATTCGAATAGGAGGTTTATAGCAAGGCCTATTCAAGATATACACTGAAATTGAGACCCAAAATGTTAAGACCCAAACAAACCTTAAGATTGAGACCCAAGATGTTATGCTTTTCACATTAGGATCAGACCAAACAGAAGGTATTACATAGTCTATCTAAGAATGCCTCTTGGATTTAGCCACACGTGACCCAATTGACCATTTTGCTTCAAAACTTAAAAGTACTAAAAACATATATATATAGATATTTAAAATAAAACTTTTACTATTAATAAGACAAATAAATTAAACTCTATGAACTTATATACTCACATCCACAACAATTTATTGATTATCTGTGCAAAAAATGTATAAAAACCCATTCATAATTATCCATGTACGATATGTGTATTCAGGTTTTAGGATCAATTAGGTTGGCAACTTATAGATTGGGCTCCGGTTATGCCTGACATATATCTTAAGAACCCAAATCTAATTTGGGGTGTGATTTCTAACACCAATGGGCCTGAGTTTTAGAAGATCTTAGCTAAGTCCATTCCAGTCTCTGGATAATTGTTCATTCCAACTATCTGTTACATTTTAAAGAAGATAATTGATGAAAAATACCATCTTCAAGCTAGATAACTTTCTTTGGATCTCATGCTTGTCCAAGTGCTGCAACAATCACACCTTTGATCTTAGGCACATTTATGTTCAAAGGATTCAGAATGAATTTTATTATTCATTTACCAACAGATCAGTGGTCTAGTGATATCAGGTTCTTATTTTTCAAAGGGAGGACAGGATTTGAGCTTCGGTGGAGGCATGCGTCTGTGAGTACCAATTAAGGAAAAAAAAAAAAAAAATTTTATTCACTTTCTTTTCGGTTAAAAAAAAAAAAAAAAACACATTTTATCATATTGAATATCTTGGGTTCCCCTTGTAACAAATATATATATATATATATATATATATATATATATATATATATATATATATATATTCATTTTGCCTCTTGTAATAATTAGTCATTCAAGACTTATGTACGGAGAGAGGGACAATTTATGTAAAACTTGAATGTTGGTTGGATTGTTCATTATATACAGGTTATATATTGTGGTATTAAATGAATTTCAGGTTGAGTATTATAAATGCTTTCAAATTAAATTAAATGTATTGTATTAGTCCTTATATATAGGTTCTATAGTATTGTATATAATGAATTTTAATGGAACGATGTTAATCAGTATACACATGTTTTATATAGGGATGAAATGAATTTTAATGGAATTATATGATTCTATATTGTCACTCGTTGTTCTACACAGGATCTATATTGTCAATTTTGCACTAATTTGTTAATGCCGAATTATAATGGGATTGGAGATTTTTGGAATAAGTAAAATTTGAATTAAGTTCAATTTTCATTCTATTTTTTCCTCAAATTCCCACTTATATATTGTTAATGTCCAATTCAATTTTAATGATTGCACTTATGAAAATATACTATTAACTAGGTTCGATTTTGAAATAAATAATGACAATGATAGTATTAAATCACATATTTAACGAACTCACTTGATACTTTTAAAAAAGTTATTAACTCTAGATAACATTTTCTCATTTTATTTCAAGTGTTTTAAGGGAAAAAAAATTAATGCGCAAAAATTTCTCAAATCATATAAAAAAAATGGAGTTTTATATATAATCAATAATTGTATCAATACATAATTTTTTTTTTCCCAATGTGCACAAAATTTCTCAAATCATATAAAAAAATGTTGTTTTATATATAATCAATAATTGTATCAATACATTTAAAATTTTTTTTTTTTATTTATTTAAAAAATATTCTTTACCAAACATGATTCTTGTTTTTGTTTTAGCAATTTTGGCAACTATAAGATTTTACCAAACATATTTTGTTTTTTAATTTCTTGAAACACAAGATGCTACTAAATATGTTTTGCATGTTTCTGCTTCTGTAATTCCCATAGCAGATTTTTGTTACCTAATATGTTTCTAAATTCTACTCAAAATACTCGTTGTTTTCGTAAGGCTCCGTTTGTTTGGACGGAAAATATTTTTTTATTTTTTAGTGTTTGGTGTAAAATATTTACAAAGAAAAAAAATATTAAAATTTAACAAAAATAATTTATTCATAAATTTTCGACAAGTTATTTTATATGCCCTACCCGATGGACTCGATCTCAGCTTCGACGTAGACCTGTGCAAAATATCGACAAAGTAAAAACAAAAGGATATTTTACTTGAAATTTTAAAAAAAAAAAAAAAAAAAAAAATATTTTACGTCGAAATAAAAAAATATTTTACGTCGAAATAAACGGACCTTAAATGTAAAAAATAATTTTCTAAATTCATGAAAAATCATGCTAGACATGAGTTAGGTTCGGTCCGCTCATGTTATCCAATGAATTTATAACCCATCAAGGCTTGTTTGGATTCTGGGAAAAAAAAAAAAAAAAGCAAAGCTTTGCATCCTAAAATTTTTGACTCCACATTCTGAAGAATGAATACAAAACCAAACCAAACTTCTTCATATGGTATTTTAGACAGTGTAGTGTAAGACCAACCCTCACCCAATTAGTTGTCTGGTGTATCCCAGTCTTGTAACTTCTCATTCTGTTTAATGTGTGTGTGTGTGTATATATATATATATATTCGATCTCTTGCTTCATTCAACAAGAGTGATGAAGAGCCAAGTCTCAAGCCATCTAGAGCCGTGGTGTGAGCTGGACGGAAAGGTCGTGATGGTCACCGGTGCATCTTCCGGACTCGGCCGGTGCTACTGTCTCGATCTTGCCAAAGCCGGTTGCAAGATTATTGCCGCCGCTCGGCGAATCGAACGGCTCAAATCTCTCTGCCACGAAATCAACGGATTTGCTACCTCCTCGGACCCAAGGTTGTTAAAATCGGGATTCTACGTAGAATCGTTTTGGGCTCCGTAGAATCGGAATCGTAGAATCGTGAATCGTAAGATTCTACCAAATTGTGAAAAACAATTGAAACTAACTTCTTAAATAATAAAATTCCTAAAATATAACCAAAAAGAGGCCAAAACACACAATATTACATATCCATGAGTTCACAAATCTCAAATTCTAACAATATTTCAAAGTCCGAATATATATAAAAGAGAATGTAGTTCAAAATAACATGAGTTTACAAATCTCAAATCTTAACTCATCCATCTCCAATGTTAGAAAGGAAATTTTTTTTTTTTTTAACTTTATGCAATTTCCTTCTTTTTTTTTTTTTTTTTTTTTTTTTTTCTTCGAAAAGTGAAGAAATAAAAAGACCTTTTTGTCCACCAATAAGTGTTACGGTATATGTGACCTTATTAATCACACGTATGAAATTAATCAAGAGTTAGCACAACAAAATTAATGAACCACGTGTTAACTCGATCTCATTATATTATCAGTTTAGACTACAAGATAATACTTGGGCTGGCATATCCGGCAAGTCTTTTAAGTTTTTAAATTATTTTTAATTTTTAATATATATGATAAGCCTCCAAAAAAAAAAAAAAAAAAATAGTCAAATGAAATATTGATCATCAAACTAAAATTTGCCTAAACTTGTTAGTCACGAGTATGCATCCTTGAGATATAATTGATCATTTTAATATTTTATAATTAAATACAAAAATATATTATGGAATATCCACATGCATGGTAAAAATAATTGATATATACATATATATATATTTCTTTTTCTGCCACGAATGAAAAATAATTTATATTTTATAGAATATATATTTAACTTTGTATACTATACTTGGGACAGGCCTCTTTTATTTTGTAGCCAAACCAACCAAAAAATAAAAAAAGCCCAAAATTAAAGGCCCAAACAACCAATTTTATAGAATCGGTAGAATCGTGTAGAATCGTACGATTCTACCTCCGATTCTACGATTCTACCCCCGATTCTACCAATTGAGCGATTCTGCTACGATTTGACTCGATTTTGAGTTCTGAGTTGTAGAATCGTGCGATTCTACGACTCAGAATCGCGATTTTGATAACCATGCTCGGACCATCCTGACTCGTGTCTTCGAGCCGTGGTTGTTGAGCTCGACGTGACCGCCGATGGTGCCACCATTGACGAATCTGTACGGAGAGCCTGGGACGCGTTTGGCCATATTGATGTTCTGATCAATAACGCTGGTGGTAGAGGTAATTATTCCATTCGAATTTTCTTTCTTTAATCTGTATACTGTTTGGTTGTTGAGA